AATAAACTCAATAAAATTAATAAATTAAAAAAAATAATAGCTGCTCTTTTTACACTCATTTTCCTGTACAAAACAAAACAGTTCTTCAGGAGCAGTCCTCCATGTTACTGGATGAGTCAAGCTGTGATCTTGGCAGCAATGGAGTGCAATGGAGCGTCTTCTGAGCTTGGTGTGAGGCCAAACAGAAGTCAGGGTAATCCTAAGCAGTGTGTGCAGGGTCCTTCTGCCCTGGGCACTGCTCCGTTGCTCCTTGTGTGTGCAGTGGCTTCATCTTCTCAACTTGCCAAAGAGCTGCTTACCACAATGACAGTCACCAGAGGAGGGGCAGAGTTCTGTGATTCCTGATGTACCCATGGGGAGGCTGAGGCACAGGAGAGGGAGAAGCTTCCCAAGGTCTAGGCTGGTGTGTGGGTGGCAGCCATAAGCCCAGGTATGGCCTCTCAATTAGGAGTGAAATTTTAGAAAGAGAGAAATACACCAGGACTTGGTCACCAAAGTAACTGCAGGTGTGGCTTGGTGACGGTACAAGGGGGCTTTGGAAGGCCCAGGACCCTCCAATACCATCAAGATTTTTCAGAAGGAATTGTGTACATTTCTAAATATAGGCTCTGAATAGTAGGATGTATAAAGGGAAGATCATAATCAGTGACTAGAAGGAAACAGAAGCCAAATAAGCAGACATTTGATTGAGAAACAGGTGAAGAGTGCATGACCGGCAGTGCTGGCACCCGAGGGCCCCCTACCCATTCCCTCTGACAGGCACAGATGTGTGTCCAATGTCCTGCTAATTCCAGCTTTCTTTCCCCAGAAACACACTATCCCCCACCCCCACGCACACACACACATCATTGCTCACGCACCCAGGCACATGTACACATGTTGTCACACACACTGTGAAATGAATGGGGGCTTCATAATTTCCCAAAGGTGAAATGAGTTCTGGAAGTCAACTTTCTCCTGCTGAGTTCTGGGGAGAGAACGGCAGCGGAGCCAGGGGGTAACTAGCATCAGACTGTACCTCTCCCAGGTCATCACTGGACCAAGGATGGATGGATGGCTCCTGGGTGTCCTCTGTGCCCTGCTTGTCCTCATCCTTTCTGGCTTCCTACATAAGGGAGCAACTCCCCTCAGGGACAGTGGTACTGCAGTGTGGCTGGAAGCTAGGCAGACCATTGCCCTTGAGGGCAGCACATCTGGTTACTGGTGCAAAGTCCTTGCAGGCACTGAGCCAGCCCCATACAGGTCCCGCCCCTCCTGTCCATGTGGCTTTATAACGTCTGACAGATAGGAGCTTCCTGCCTGTAGAGCTGGCTCCACAGTATTCCCAGGACTTGGCTTGGGGCTCTCATCAGCCAGTTTTGGTTGAGTCCAGAGCAGCTCCCAATAGCCTTGAACCTCCAGGTAAGGTCTTCTGGCTTTGGCCAGGCTCCTCCAAGGCCTCT